GGTTACTTAGAGACAAATATCTAGATGTCAATGGCTCAAGGAAGGGGATGACAATACCAATTTTTTCCATATGTTGGCAAATGGGAGAAAGAGGAAAAACTCGGTGTTGAAATTGGAATGGAATGAGCAAGTATTGACAAGAGATGAGGACATAGCCCAAGCCTTTGTGAATCACTTCAAAACACTCTATGAGGGTTCAAGGAGGTCAAGAGAAAACTTATAGGGCCTGGACTGGAGGGTTAGGAATAGAGAGTTGTTGGATTCCTTTGAAAGGAAATTTGAGGTTCATGAAGTGAAAAATGCAGTCTTCTCGATGGAGAGATCTAAAGCCCCAGAACCTGATGGTTTTATGATGGCTTTCTATCAAGATTATTGGAAAATAATTGAGGGTGACTTGATGGAGGTGTTTGATGAGTTCTATGAGAGGGGCAAATTTAACTCAAGTGGAAATGCAACCTTCATCGCTTTGATACCAAAAAAAAGTGGATGCAATCCAACCGAGGGATTTTAGGCCCATAAGTCTGATAGGAAGCATGTACAAAATCATTTCCAAGGTTTTAACCCTAAGAATAAAATGTTTTTCCCTCAATGGTTTCTCCAAATCAAGGAGCTTTTGTGTTTGGGAGACAAATAATAGATCAAATTCTCATTGCCAATGAATGTGTAGAGTTTAGAAGAAAGAAAAAACAAAAGGGACTAATTTGCAAATGGGTGAAGGGTTGCATTTCTTCATGTCATTTTTCAATTATGGTAAATGGAGTAGCAAGAGGTTTTTTTCCTGCCAAAAGGGGCCTAAGACAAGGAGATCCTCTATCTCCCTTCTTTTTTACTCTGGTAACTGATGTATTGAGTGAATTGATCATAAGGGCAGATGCCAACAATATGGTTAGAGGTTGGAGAGTTGGAAGGGATGAAGTGGTGGTTACACACCTACAATTTGCAGATGATATTATTTTGTTTTATGAAGGGAAAATAGAAGAACTCATGAACCTAAAAAAGATAGTCTACAAATTTGAGAGGATCTCCAACCTTAAGATTAATTGGGGCGAGAGTTGTGTAGCAGGAGTCAATTTATGGAGTGAAGAGGTGATTCGACTAGCTAGACTATTGGGGAGTGAAGTAGGGGATTGGCCATTACAATATTTGGGACTACCTTTGGAAGGAAGTCCTAATGTGGATAGTTTCTGGTATCTAGTGATTGAGAGATTTACAAAGAGACTTGTGAATTGGAAGAGAAACTACATTTCTTTGGGAGGTAGGATAACCCTAATTAAGTCAACTTTAGCTAACTTACCAGTGTACTTCCTATATAGCTTTAAGATACCAATGAAAGTGGTGGCAAACCAGGTAGAGAAGATTATGAGGAACTTCCTTTGAGAACCAGGAGACACCAAAAGAGACCACCTAGTGAAGTGGGAGGTGGTTTCTAGAAGTAGAGATGAAGGGGGCCTAGGAATAGGAAATCTTAGGCTAAGAAACATAGCATTATTGGGGAAATAGTTATGTAGATTGCCATTGGAACAGGACAGACTTTGGCAGAGTGATTATTAGCATTCATGGATTGGCAGACAATGGTTAGGATGCAAGAGTCGACCCCAGGGCTTCCCGATGCTCTCCCTGGAAAGCTATTCATGGTATTTTACCTTCATTCCTTCCTTACATCAAATTTGATGTTTGAACAGGAAATAAAGTATTGTTTTGGGAAGATGCTTGGGTTGGAGACATTTCACTTAATGAAAGATTCCCTTCTATTTATTCATTTTCTAAAAATAAAAGAAAAGTGATCTCTTCAGTTTTTACTGATAACTCTTGGGACTTGGGTTTGAGGAGGGGTCTAAGGGAGTCGGAAATGACAATGGTGGATGAATTAATTAACCTTTTAGGGTCAACCTACCTAGATCAATCTTGTTTGGACAATAAAATTTGGAAACCTTCCCCATCTGGCGTGTTCACTTGTTCCTCCTTTTTTGATATCCTCGTTCAATCATCAAACCCTATAAGGAGCTTTTTTTCAAAGGAGATTTGCTGTCAACCTATACCCCCAAAAATTCGGGTTTTTTGTTGGGAGGTGGTTCTCTAAAAAAATCAATACTCTAGATATGTTGCAAAGAAAAAGGCCAAATGTATGCCTATCACCCCATGTTTGTAGCCTCTGCTTGGGATCTGGTGAGATGATCACACACCTATTAATTTCTTGTCCATTTGTGTGCTTTATTTGGATTTGGTTCTCTTCTATCTTTGGTTGTAGGTGGACACCTCCCCTAGATGTGGCAAGCCGTTTTGACCCAAGCTTTTTTAAGCAACTGAAGAGACATGGAATATTAATGTAGAGAGCCACAAGAGCAACTATCTTATGATCAGTTTGGAAAGAAATGAACAATAGAATCTTTAAAGGAGTGAAGAAATCCAAGGAGGCAGTTGTAGAAAGGATAATTATTATGACCATTCAATGCTTGAAAACTTTGGATTTGTTTAAAGACTTCTCAGCTGAAGACATTTACAGGAAATGAGAAGTGGTGGCATCTACAACTTCCATGAAACCTATTGTGCAGGAATTGTGGTCCCCACCAACACAACAAAGAGTGAAATTGAACTTCAATGGGAGTTCTAGAGGTAACCTGGGCCCTTCAAGTATATGAGTATTCAGAGATGAAAATGGCAGAATTGTGGCTTTGTTTTCAAGACCAATAGGGGTGGGGGACTCATTCAGAGCGGAGGTGATGGCCTTGCTTCAAGGTGTAAGATATGCCAAACATTTGGGGTTACACCAAATTGAGATAGAGGGAGACTCTAAATTGTTGATTGAGTGGCTGCAATCTGGTAAGTTGGGAGACTGGATTTATAGACAGCCCATAAGAGAAATCCTCAACACAACAAGGGAGATCGGTGCATGCTTCAAATGGACAAGGAGATCAGCTAATGGTTTAGCTGACATGTTGGCTAAACAAGGGACTCCAAGGGAGAGAATGTTCTGGGCAGTTTTGTAAGAAAGATTATTATGGGCTCAACACCTACTTAGGATTGACAGTTTTACATGAATCTGGAAAGTTACTCTTAAGTTATATTAATGAAGTTATATTTTCCAATCAAAAAAAAACAATTAAAAGGCGTGGCAACATAATAAGGTTGGTTAAAGAAATCACTTTCCAAAATCAAGTATGTTTCAAACTAGTTTAAAGGTCGTTTGATAATGTCTGAAATAACTGAACCAATTTCTATTGGAAACTATGAAATTATATTTTTAAATTTGACCAAAGACAAACTAAGAAAATGATCTCAAATTCTATTAAATAAAATGCTTCAAAAAAATCAAATATAAAATTTATTTGGGCACTTCAAGACTTGTACAATTCTATGTTGGACTGAGAAACCAGTGTTTGCAAAAACCATGGCATCATCACAAAGCAACAGTTGAAGATGTACTCAAGATATTAAAACTCCAAGAAATTCCTTGCAGGGGGTAATCCATCCCCCAATTCTACTTGAGGTTACACTCTTTTCATCTTTCATTTCTTTGAGTTATTTGTTCTAGATGGAGAGAGGAGTTAGAGTGTTTTCTTAACTTTAAAAAGTGATTTCATGAAATTGAAAATATCCGATATATTGCTCCAACATATAAACTGAAAAGTATGAGTAATTATATATAGGAATACAACAGTAATAATAATCTTAATATCTTACTTGCAGTGGCACCAATAAAAAAAGCATATGGTTATGGAATGCCTTCTAATGGATTCTTAATCAAAATATTTATTATAGATTAATCAAATCAAAATATGTTTAGAAGATTTAACGTATCTTACTTGCTTCGTCAACAACCTTTATTGTTTTGAACTGCATTTGACTTTTTTAGTGGACTCCCTTCTCATTCAAGATTTCTTTTTATGATTGTCCTGAATAAAAACTCACTAACTGAGTAGTAGCTAGAGTAACCAATTTCTCCCCACACACTAAAACCCAATTTAAAGAACACAAGCCTTGCATCTTTAGTTCAAAGGAACTAAATTCAGTTGGTGCATACCTGAAAAAGGTTAAATCCTTAAATTCAGGGGCCCTACCAAGAGTCAAGTCATCACAAGTGCTTTTAAGTGCCTTTTTAGTCTTTAGATTTGTTTCACTATCAAGATTTGCCATTTGTGTTAGAGAAAAACATGATATGACATACAGAAGCAGAGATATTCTTTGGTTTTCTTAGATAACTAATGTAACAGAGATGGAAGAAAAAATATATAACACACATTTGGATCTGTTCTTGCAATGAACAACAGATCTACAGGAAAGAATCCATCGTGCTTAACCAGCAATGATGCAATGTGGAGCTAAGATCTAATGAAATGCATGCCTCAAGCGAAAAAAACACACTGGGTAAAGTACTATGCCTTTTTGTAATTTTTCAAGTAAGCAGATAAATAGAGATGCTATTTACCTTTCTCATTCCCTTGAATAAATTTATGGAATTAGAAAATTGATCCCAAAATTTGGCATCCTTGATCTCCTGATCAAGTCAAACTAGATTTTGATGATTACGGCTATGGAAATAAAACAGGTACTGGGTACATGCCCTGGGATCAGTGTGTTATTTTTACATATCCATTGCACCCGATTGTGTATGTAGGAAGAGTGGGAATGGACTTGATCTATTTCTAATATGGAAGAGTAGCTCCATCATTTTGTACTTAACATTACTTAATTTTTATTAAGTGAATTAGAGATGGATAGAGGTAGACCTTGTCTTAACTTCAAACTCTTTCCCTTCCATGTTTATTTATTATAGTTAATAAGCTTCATGCTGAATGCTTGTTTAATTCTTGAGAACATTGTTGCTCATCATTTTAAAAGACAATAACAAGTTTATGGTGAACTTGCACGCACGTGCCCCACCACTAGTGTGTGTGTATATATATATATATATATATATATATGTAAACTGGTTCAAAGTATCAATATATGGTGTTAGTTTTTGAGGTTTCTGATACAGAAAATATCTGAAGAAACAAAGGTAAAATGGCAAAAACTTGTATACATTCTAGAAGAGGCAAAACTTCTTGTAGTTCACAAAAAATGGTAATATATTAATGAAAGAACAGTCAATATCTGAAGAATCAACGGTAAAACAGAACCCTTTTGAACTTTTATATACATAACCATCAGAAACAGGAAAGTAAACCTGAAATGGTAATCTCTAACTCTATTGACTAAACCTGAAATGTACACCAGCGCTTGGGTAATGATCGGGAAGATCCCATGAAACCAAACATTAACTGCCAACTTGCCTGATTCTTGCCTTCACCCAAAATGAGACCTCTGAAGTTTATAATTTTCAGACCTGTCATCTGAAAAAGAAGAACAAGAAGCACTCGTAAGCAGATTTATAATGTTTGCATGTGGAGATCATCCATGCCTGGGGGAGGCAATGGTGGAACTGCTGCTGCAAATGAAGTAGTTTCTGCAATCCCCAAGGCCTTCCTTGCAGTTGCCTGGGATTCTCTACCACCACCAATCTTTCGTGATGAAATTGTTTCAGATCCCATGGTTCTAGAAGAGTTATTGCTCTCAATGGATGATAAGAACTTGACTTTTGAGAGAGTTGTATTAGCAGATGCTATCACAGAGCTGAAAACACCAGATTCCCTCAAACCTTGAATGATAGCCTGTACGTGAGTGTGACAACAAGGAATCAGAAATACAAGACAAGCATACCATACAGTAACGTCCATTGGTATACACTTTGAGGAGAAAACAGAAAGAGCAGAACAAATAATATGGGAGTGAAAGAGCTAAAAATGATAAAATTACTTGGTATTACTCTTTTTCCTCAAAAGGTTTCAGTGACCAAGCTTACCATGGGAGCATATATGCGTGTCAATATGCCTTTCCTGAGAAGTTTCATGTTCAGTGTCTTGTCAGTCCATACAACATGCTCGCGGTACCTAAGTAAGAGCAAGAATTTGATGAAAAAAAAAAGTAAGAGCAAGATTATTCAGAAAAAAAACCACAACCAAAATACAGATACAAAACTAAAGAAGATGTGGTTAGTTTCTTTGCATTTTCCAAGCATTAGGTTTTCATGCACCCATAGCCATTAAAATGCTATCAGTATTGTATGTTTATGATTTAAACATATGAAAATACTCATACTGTGGATTTCCCAATTATATAAAGTTCCCATTTAAAACAAATCAATAGTTGCAAAATATTTTCTTGTTAAGAACTACAATTATAAAAAAGAAGAATGAGAAACAAGGACAAGTATAATACAAGTTAGAGTATTACCATTGAAGCATTTCCTCCTCTGTTGCTGTTGAGGCAATTATGAACGCCTGCATTAACAGAAGCAACAAGGTCAATGATATGTAGAGACCAAATAGATTGCCCTAGTAAAAAATGTTACTAGTTAGAAGTGATCATGATGGGTTACAAGAGAAGAGTTTTGAGGGCATGCTACTTTTGGTTCATTGGATCGTGGTTAGGGAAGATGACCAGCTCAATCAAGCCTCATATATGTTTACTGGAAAAGAAAAATGTAACCAAAACCATAATGAAAAACCAAAACCTAGACCTGCTCAATTAAAGTCAAACATGTGGGATCATTTGCAGGATTGCATTATCTCTTTTTAGGCTTGTTATCTTTTTCGATTTAGAGGATATACAGAGCTTTGAGGGATGTTGTGACAAATGGAATAGTCTAACAAAATGTTTTAAAAACCGACCCGGAGGCTGAACCGTTTTTGCCTCTGGGTCGCGGGTCACTGGTTCAACCAACCAGGTCGAATGGTTTAAAACGTGCCACATCATCACACACACACATATTATATGTATATATAYGTGTATAAATATATATTTTAGCAATAAATAATGTATAAATATGTTTTAGATATGTTATATGTATTATTTTATATTTAATTTATGTTTTTTAATTCATTTTTTAATTTTTTTATTTATTAAAATTGCAATTCGAAGCCAAAAAAGGGGTTTTTTTTGCGAAAATAGCGGGGCAAGCGCCTACGATGCCTTGAGACGCATAGATCTCGAAAAGTTACTCAAAAAAAATCACCCCAATCAAACATCGGAGTGCAAAGTTGTGGCCTTCAAAAGTTTGGATGCATCGAATATGCAACCCGTGACCCGGTCACCGGGTCGAACGGTTCTTGACCAAGTCAATGGTTTTTGACCGTCTGGCGAATCTTGACTGAACCAGACCCAGAATCTTGGTCGGTTGATGGTTCAAACAATTTGACCGACCGGGTCGACAACGGGTTGAAAACATTGGTCTAACATGTAGAATGGTAACTTCTATAGGAAATGTTAGAGACAAATGAAAGGGAAAATATGACCCCCTCCCCCAAATGCTGTAAGATACCATTATCCCCACATTTTTTTGAACTAAATATACCCCCGTCCCCAAGTGGTATACAATTTCCAGAGTAAAGGTAGTTCAGTAAGTTCATATAGCTATTTTCTAGAATCCCCTTTCAAGAAATGTGTACCTATTTTATTTCTTCATAATCTGCCTTCAGCACAACATCCCTAACCGTGTCTTAAATACTAGACTAGTTGATGACCCCATGATGAGTAGAGGAACTATATGAATGTTTTTTGTCTAGGACACCCTATCCACGTGGTAAGTCTTGAAAATTTTATACCAGGATTTTTATTTGATTTAGGAGACTAATTTAGGTTTGCTTACAAACCCATTTATCTAGAAGATTTGGATCTACACCAATGTAATGCCTTCAAAACGTTTCTTCTAGGTTTTTTATTAAGTTAAGAAACTAATTAGACTTGATTTTTTATTCAAGGATATTAGTTATCCTTCTAATTTGAATTAGAAACAACATGATTTTACCATTTCAAATATATTTTTATTCTGAATTGAAGTTATAAGTGCTTTTTCTGGGCGGCGGCCTAGCCTCGAGTTTCAACAAGTAAACAACTGTTTTTAATTCAGAAACCCATATAAACATGATATAGCCTAACAAATAAAATATTATTTCCATCCTTGTAAATTGTAATCAAAGAAAGACATCGTTTCTTCTAAAATGAAGGCCAAAAAAAATTGAACTGGATGTAATCATTAAACTTACAGCTCTGTCAAATTCCAACATAAAACATCTCTTGACATCCTCCTTTGTAGGCTTGCACCCACACCGATCACGTCTAGAGGTCAGGTCCGAAAATTTGGTGTATGTGTAGTGCAGGACAGCAGCTTCATCCAATTTAATCTCACTACCAAATGACAAGAGAAATCAATCGCATCCCATGTGTCACCAATAAAAAACAAAAGATGCTAATACATAACTAAGAAAGCTTAATTTACATATGGTATAAAAGGATAGACTTGGAGATTTTCAGATAAGTATTAACAGATTGAATTATCAGAGAGTATTTCAACATTTCAAGATACAGGCATCTAAGAGGTGACAGTAACTAGATGAATAGGATCAGGAGATTCTGTGAAGTCGAAGTTTTTACTCCTATATCTAAGGGCTAAAGTTGATAGCCACCACTGGATTTTGAGAACTTTTCCATTGAGTGGGACCTTTGGTTTGTCTTGCAATGATTGAGAAAAGGTGTCAAAATCAAAGCTTGGGGATTCATGCAGCACTTTGAACTTTTAAGAAAAAGGTCACAAAGATTAATTCATGTGTTGTAAAACCAAGTGCCACTGCTAAATGCCTCCTTTTTTGGGTGGGGTGGGGGGTATTTCCTAGCAATGTCACAGCAAGAAGAATATTGGATGTTACTATTTTTATATATCTCTCTGTCTCCAACTGTTATTGGTGCTAGTTTCCTTTTGGTGATTCGATGATTTCTTTTACCATTAGAAGAAAACTCGAATTCATTCAAGAGAAAACTCCCTGCTACCCATACAAGACTGGTTAGAGAGGGGGAAATATGATGCAATCCATGTCAGCTACAAGAATTTAAACAGAACGGAAAAAAAAAAAATCACACGTCCAACCCACCCAGGTTTCCCCATTGAAGACAATCCTTAATTACCCCTACTTTAGCTAAAGCATCAGCCAAAGCATGGCTTTTAAAACCGACCCAGTGACCGAACCGGTCAGGGGTCGGTTACTGGTTTGAATGGTCCGACCGTTTGAACCGAACATTTGGCCCGTTCTGACAATAAAATAAAAATAAATAAATAACGGTCCCGTTCAGCGGTTCACTGACCAAAATCAACGGTTTTGGGAGGAAATCCGGTTTTGGGGGAAAACGGAACCGGTCACCTGACCGGTTCCTGGTTTTTCCAGTCCAATCGTCCGATCCAGTCCGGTTTTGAAAACCATGAGCCAAAGTGTTAGCAGACCATGGCACCTACTTGAACGGGCAGTTCAATTGATTGCCTAAAGTTGTGCTTGTCTAACCAATGGCCTATAAACCCAAGTAATGTCCTCAGCAGCATGCATTCAAGCAATAACTGTTTGACAATCTCCATCCACATCTATATCCTTCCAGGCTTTCCACCCCGGCAGAAAGATTAACTTTAGTCCTTGAACAATTGAACCAGATCTAGGATTTCAGCTTTTAGGGAGATGTCCTAACCAATTGAACTTGAGAAACAGAGGGAAATATTGCTCTTTCTATCTCTTACAACCCCTCCTGTTTCCGATTCCCCTACATTGCCTAGGCTGCACCCATCAAAATTGAGTTTTAACCTTCCTGATTCAGGTTCTACCCATTCTACATGTCTCTTCTGACTTATGGATTGATTTCCTGCAACAATCTGCCATTCTCTCAACAGTTCATCCATAGTGGCACCTCTGAATTCTCCACGTGCCAAGGCTTAGTCCCCAACTCTTATCTTGATGATATCTATCAAAGCACCTACCTCCATTCCCCTATCTTCAAAAATTCTGGCATTTCTGTCTCCCCATAATGCTGCCCTTGTACACTTCATAATATCTTTTTCCTCTTCCTGTGAGAGGTAATAAAAGTAGCAGAGAAAAGCTCCTTAATGAATAAAGGAGCTGTCTAGCTACCTCCCAAGAGTAGAAGAAAGGAGCCTTTTGTTGATTTGATAATCCCTCTTGGACAATCACCTTTTTTGCTGCAATTGTACCACTTTTATAATAAGACTTGGAAAAGAAATGTTTACCTTGAGGAATAGCTAAATCAATTAACTTCTGCATTCCTGAGAATAATTATGTAAAAAAGGAGTAAATAATATATAGAAGCTAATATAATATATGATTTTGAATAACCCTAAGGATACCATCACAAACTACATATAAATAGAGGCACGCATAAAATCATAAGACAGAACTAACATACTTTGGGGTCTTCATATAGTTGTGCCATCTGTGGGCCCCATTAGGCCGTAGATGATTTTGAACCCGAGCAGCTGATTTCCCGTTTCCATAAGTCAAAAAGTAGTTTGGGTTTCCACGGGTTGCTTCTTTATACATTCCAAAGTATGTGTCCTTAGGAAGATGATCATAGTTTTTCTTGAACAATGAAACCTGTTAACAAACATAAAATGTGTCACAGGTTTTACACATGCTATCAGTCAAAAATGTCAAAACAAACAAGCAATGAAGGAGCACTGAGAAAACAGCCAACATCTTTTTTCTTCTTTTTTTTTTCCTCTCTTAACCTGATTTTTAACTAAATCACCAATACAGGTTACTCAGTTCGCTGGATGTGTCTGACCCTGGGCTGCTTTTAAGAGCGTGCAGTATACAATGGACAGGGGAAGCAAATAGATTTGTATACACATTGAACTCTTATGGTAATACCTAGGTTTTCGGTTTTCCATGAAGCAGATATGGGCCATATGGCCAAGTCCAACCAATCCATCAGATAGTGGACTTCTACGATTGGCCAAATGAGTGGCCATCTCATCTACTGCAACCCCCTATTGTTCATCCCAAGGACATTGCCAAGGTGAATTTGTTGCTTCTGCAAGTGAAAGACAGATGATGTAGTAGTTGAACATGGTAAACATCTGGCAGAAATTATAAAGAAAAGCAAATGTCTAAAGAGTCTTTTTTGTTGAAGCAGATTTTCCTTGGGCTAATTCTCCAAGAGGGGTGGAGTGTTTGAAGACATGAATTTCTTGGTTCTGTCACCTCAGGTTCCATATGTATAACCATAGTTGTCAAGGCGATGCCTAGGCGACAAGGCGCCCTTGGAGGCTCGCCTCGCCCAGTCGCCTGGCAGTTTTGTGAACCGGGTTATAAAATACTTTTAGATTTTTAATTTTTTGACATTATAATTATAAAATAGACATTATTAAACTACAATATTCATTTTGTGTTTATTTACTAATTTATTTTTATTATTTTCTTATTTTGTTAGGGTTTAATCAATGCAAACATTGCTAACTGCTGTATTGAACCCATGGTTCACAGTATCAATACACCTCTATGTATTGGCAGAGGTGTATCGGTACTTATAACGATACTCTCCCTATTTTTTTATTTCTTTGGTTTTCAATTTCATTTTTAAATATATATATATATATTATTTAAAAAAAATGGGTCCCCAAAAACACCTGTAAACAGGTATCGGGACCCCAAAGATACAATATAATACACCCGATACGGGGCATATCGTATCGAAAATTTGATCCTTGATTGAACCCTCAAAAATTTCAAAACCTGAACCTATAAGCAAGGGAAGAACTTAAAATTGTCTAATCAACACATTTTCTTCTTCCAAGTCTTCTTCTTCTTCTTCCACCTTTTCTTTCTTCTTTCCTATAACAAAAGTAGGGGTTCAGCCCCTATATTTTTTGAATTTTCTTTACTTTGTTCTTTTTCTTCTCATAACATGTTGATTTTCTAGACTTAAACATGAAATTTATAACAAAAGTAGGCCTTTCATAGGAACATGAAATTTTCTGGACAAGGCGCCCCCTATCGCCTAGCCTCGCCTTGGTGCCTTGAAAACTATGTGTATAACTGTGTTGCAACTTAGAATAGCAGCCAATTATTTGCATCAAAACAGATGGCAAGGCCAATTTATACAAGAAATTGATTTTAGATACATAAAGTCCAAGTGACTAGAAAGTTAGAAAGACCCATCAGGAGACATGGATAGTTGATCACCACAACTTTAAAGGATCTTGGAAGTTCCTTTCACTAACTTTCCAACTTTTTGTATATTAAAAGATTCAGTCTTCCTCTACCCAAGGAGTGTTGCAGGGGAGACTGCATTAGCAAATTCAAGCCCTACTGGATTTACCTCCAATGCCTACTTATAGATCTTGGATATGTGTGGTTGTTCCTAATATTACCTCCAATGCCTTAGTTGCCCAGGATTTCCCATACGGCATCCATCATTATTCAGTTTTAGCTCTCCCATGGCTGGTGGCATCCAGTCCATAGGGATGACATGCTTTGTGATGAAGAGGCTGGCATTTCTTTCCAGATCTTAAAGAAGTCGTCATTGCTGAAGCCTCATCACATGGCTTAACTGAATGAGCTAGTCTGTGTCTTCACTAGTAAAACAGTGGAAGACAGAGAAGAGAAGGTGGAGATAGGGCTGCTCACGGGTTGGTTCAGTTTGGTAATTTGGTTTTAGTTTGCCAACTTAACTGAAACTTTTGGGTTGACTTTGAGACCAAGCAAAACCAACCGACATGAGGTAAAAACCGACTTCAATTTTCAATTTTGATTGATATCAGTTTATTTGGTTTGAATTAAACCAAACTTAAATCATTGTTGGTAGCCATTGCCTTTTATATGTTAGGTTTGAATTAAATGCATTTAACCAGAGTTGCATGTTGGATGTTCTGAAATGCGTATTTTACCCCAAGAAATGTTATCTTTGACAAACAATGTGCCTTCCAATAAGAAGATTGGGGCCCGCCATATGGAAAAATAATTAAAAAACAATTGAAAAATAGATTGATAGAACTAATTAAGAATAGATTTTTTTGATTACCATGTGTTCATCTTTCGGGAGAGATAAGAGAGTTTATCTCTCCCTTCTCTTCTATGTACCATTCTATCTTGTTTAATGAATTTAATGAATGCAATTTCTGTTATTGATAAAAAAATAGATTTTTTATGCCAATTAAGAATAGATAGAGAGCTCTTTTATGGGAAACTGGAACTGACTTGATGTTGAGAGAACACATGGTAATCAAATAGAATAATAATAACAACAACAACAACAAGAATAATAATAATAATAATAATAATAGTAATAATAATAACAATAATAATATATAATAATAAAAAACTGACTATTGGTTGAGAGGGACTGACCTGGCATTGATTTTTATGGGAAACTGGGAGATGACAGAGAGATATGAGTGAGTGGGCCAGCAAAATTCAAATAACAAAAGAAAAGACTGACTGTTCTGACACCTGACACATACAAAGAAAACTGCATAAAGAGCAAAAGAGGAATGGGTTAGATGCTAGGTTGGGTTCAAAATTTTTCTAAACCGAAACCGAGCAATTATCTTTGAAAACTGACCAAATCAGGTTGAACCAGATCGGTTTGGTCGGTTTTTACCATTCTGTGAACAGCCTTAGGTGAAGAGAGAAGAGAGAGATTAGAGAACGAAAAGATTGGGCTGGCGGTTCCCTCTTCTTTATTTATAATAGGATGACAAAATAAAAATAGATAAATTACAGTAGTACCCCTGGTGGCACAATCTAATAACAAATAACATAAAAGCAGCATAGAAAAGCACTCTCACAGCTCACTAACAGCATTACCAGTAAACTAACAACACTCTGTTTTCCAATCAAGTCAAGAACACTCTCCAAGGATCTTTCTTTGTCATTAAAGATTCTTGTGTTTCTTTCCTCCAAATGGAACATGAAATTGCTATTTCCATGCTCCTCCACAATATTGAAAAGCTACTGCACTTCCTAGGGTTGATACCACCTAGCACCATTCAAGTAGAAAAGGTGTGCCTAAGCACAAGAGACAAAATGATAGGAAATTATTAAGTGAAAAGAGGTCTCAGACCTTGATTACACAGAGCACAGCTACTGTGGAGGACCTTATATTTCAAATGGATAATTTTAACAAAAGGCCCTAATTTTTGTAGGGGTTTGGGACCCTTACGTATTGCATTTACCAGAAACACAGATAGGAGATTACCAGGGGTTGTACTTGAAGAAGGGAAGCACACGAGAATGAACCACTCAGGTCAAAGAACCTAACTGTTGTCATTACCCAACAAGTTCAAGAAAACACCTTCCAAAGAATAATGAAGTTCAATCATATCTCATTTAGTTCTCAATCCTGTATGCCCCTTATGAATCCAAAATTCCAAGAGTTTCTAACATCTGACTCAACAAAAAATATGAAAAGGATTGTTTTGCATGGACAAAAACTACAGGATAGAGTGTGCCTCTTTTCAGGAACAATCACCCCATAAGAGATTCCCAGAACTTATCCTATCACCACTTCCTGAGGTACTGGACCCAAGATCATAGTCAAGCAGACAGGGATCTAAAGGTATCTCAGAGGTATAAAGCACCCACCGCCACCCCCATATTAGCAGGTTCGTAATACCAGCCTCCCACTACTATATCACTCTACCAAACTTACCTCTCATCCTTAATTCCCTACCTTTTTATATGGAAAATAAAATGTCTACATGTGTATAATATTAAGATCACTAAACAGGTCACAAGGCATACTTGATCAAAATGAATACTTCTGCCCAGTCATGACCAACTCCATGCAATATATATATATATATATATATATATACATACATATATATATTAAAGTCAAGGAAATTGGTTACTCTAAAGTTGTTTGTTACCCACTGCCAGAATGCACAAATGATACATAAGTTTGCCAATCTACTAACAGAAACAAACATAATGATGACACCTCAGATCAAAAAACCTTGGATGACGCATCTTGGATATAGCAGAATCAGCATTTTCTGTTTCATACTTCAGCAATGCTATTTTTAGTCTTTAGCAAAGAAATCTGTGTTCTTCATTCAAGTGGTTATATAACCAAAGTATCATCACATCCATGCTAATAGTTCATTTCTGATACGTGCCTAACAGTTTTTAATGTCCATTTACTAATCATCATAGCATATGCACATAAGTGTCTGTTGACTGTTGTTTGTGGTCATACAAGCACAAAAAAATGAAAAACATCTAATATGCATAAGGTTTCAAACAAGTTCATCTCAAAACCAAGTACAAACCTCAGTAGTTAAATTAATAACAAGGAATTATACTAAACAGCAAAGAGAAAGAAAAGATGAAGTTTTACCTCACTGAAAGGTTCCTTAATATCCTCACGTTCAACACTACTCTCCTGCAACAGTAATGAAACAATTATTCAATACTAGAAACAAACCCTCATTTACTAAATAATAATTTTTGAAAATTATTAAATTAATAATACTGAAATTACTTTTTATCATTTAATAGATAAAATGATAGTGTACAAAAAGAAAAGTTGTTTCACTCACATAATTTGGAAAGATAACCATATCAACATTCCCAGGCACATCCAAGAGTAATTGCCTCAATGAGTACTCCCGAGAACTTGCTGGATGTATTAATTCATCGGTGTCAAGATGGATAACCCAATCCATTCCAGCATCCTATGATTGAGTAGATAGGACATATGATGCTTTTATCATCATCATAATTATAAGAATAAGAAACAGCTCGTTTACCAACAAAGAACAAAGGTTACAATATGTAAGAGACAAGTTAGGCTCATCAATACCCTTGCCATGACAATACCCATCTCCATATTAAGAGACTGCTTCACAAAGAGTTCATAATTGCATGGCTTGTAGAAGAAGCTTGACAACCAAGTCTCATTCCAGATTCGGCTAGAGAACCCAAAAAAGAAAAGGAAACATAAAAGAGAAATCAAATCAAGGACACCTCATTACAAAGACAGGAGTTCATGATAACAAATAGATAAAGAAGTGTCACAAATGCCAAATGGATAAAACATTATTCATTAGATTGAAATGGCTTTTATTGCAATAGACATAATGTCGTACAGACAAAAAATAAGCTGAAGAATAACTAAAGGAGCAGGATTTTGGCAAAAAGAATCCAATCAAACCAACTATGTAATTGGAAATCATTCGGCATTTTATGCATAATTCTGTCCTTGTCCTTACTTGCTTAAGCTATTTACAGGGTGCAATTTTAACCTCTCCTAGATTGAAGGAATTGTTTATAGGATTCATTATGATCTTGCCCTCTAAATCCCCAGAAAAAGTGTTGGTATCACTAGTTGCTTGTTTTATTAGCAGCATAATCAGTAATATTTTATAAGATTAGTTTTGCTATTTTTGGATAAATATCATTTGGATTATCTTTCTGAAAAATGTGCCTGCAGAGTGAAGTTCTATCTAGATGTCCATATTAGTGACCAACAATTTAGTTATTTCTCTTCCAATCAAAGCTATTCTTCTGCTTAAAAGAAAATATTGAATGCCAACATAAAGACTGAAAAAAAAAATACTTTGAACTTAGCTATATAGATTAAAGAAAAAAACAAAACAAAACAAGACCCAAAGAACTAAGCAAGAAATTAACTAACCTTTTAGCCTGTTGTTCCTCTAGTTCTCTCGTTCTGTATATTACTTTGACTCCCTAAGTTACAAACATAGAACATATAAGAAAATTCTTAACCAATTGGAAGAACACATTGCGCACCTATCAAAAAAGGAATTCTTAACAAAATGGAGGACGAGGGAGGTGGCATATAACTTACAGAAATGGATTCCAGGACTGCAGAAACATTAGGAGATGCAGCTTTTCCTTCAACAAATAAGAAGAAAGTTGAAACGCCAATAACCTTATGATAAAAAATCCATGGCAGGATCTGCTCTAGGCCAGCCGAAGTGCTTGTAGTAATACATATCTGCATATTTGCAGCAATAATGTGCATGGAATGTCAAAAATTTATTCAAACACTCAAAAACAAACAAACGTACACATTTATCAAACACAGTACTATATGCTAAGCAGAAATCTTGAGCTCCTAAACATGAACTGGAATTTTTTTTTCTTTGATGAGTACTGAAATTCATGAAATGCAACTGATGTCTCTTAAAGGGAGGGGGAGGGGGAGGAGGAGGAGAAAAACTAGCAATTAGTTCTAGTATTATACTAAACAAAAACCGGTTAAAAGAAAAAAAAAAAAAAAACAAGTATGGAAAAAGATGAAGAAACACCTTTGATTTTAATTATCGTGTATTTATTATTTATATACATCAGAAAAGCTAAATGATTAATGGACTATGAGAACATCCACTCTATGACCAATTTTTGAATGAAGAATTAGCCTAAAATCCCAAACCAATGTAATGTATGTCTTTATGTACACATATAATGTAATATTCTATACATCAGTGCATCTGACCATTAAAACTGCATACGAGTAACATTTGAAATAAAAAGAAAAAGAAAAGTAAAATTAGAAACAAACGATATATGCCCTCCAAAACCAATATTGATGCAATCGTAATCTTATTTTAAGAATATAAACTGTTCATTTAGGAAGACAACTTCTCGTATCTAATCAAGAATTTCCAAGTTTACAACATACGACCTTTAAAATCAAAACTGTTTCTATGATCACAGGATAAACTGTAAAGGGGGCAAAAGAGAGAACATCTCTAATACATTCAATCAGGATAAAATGACCTAAACAGCAAAAATATGCAAAACCATAATCTTAACAAATTTCTCCAAGTCATTTACATTTCTATCAAACATCACAATGCATGTCTAAGCAGTAAAAATCTTCTAGGAAATAAATGAGTTACTTGATTCCAAGGAGTCACCGCAGCATTTTCAAATCACCCAGATCAGTAAACTCATTTCTGAACAGGACCCAGATCATCGATTGTCAGTCTTTCCCAACAAAGATCGGCCCAACACAACCCCAGAAACTCAACGAAAACAAATAAAAGGCAGGTTATGATCTCACCTTTGGCCTCAGATCAGCTTCATAATTGAACTTCCACCCACGATAATAAGGAAATGAAAGCGAGGAGCTCCGACCCAGAAGCTCAGCACAATCGGACGACGATGCTGAAGACAATGAGTGAGCAGGATTCGTAGGAGCAGAACTCACCATACCAGGGAATTGGTGGTTCTCGGGGGACCAACGCGTCATTGGTTCGTTGACACCGCCTCGCCATTGAAGAACGAAGGCGAAGGCCGCGAGGGATAATGGTAGAACTGTGAGGACAAAGAGAAGCCTGGAAGCAAGGTTCTGGTTAGACGAAGAAGCAGACGCTCTGAGAGAGGTGTATGGACCAGCCATGAGAAACAGAGAGAGGGGAAGGGGGAAGGACAAGGAGAGAAACAGACGCTGTTATGGTAAAATGGTAAATATAATCAAGGAACAATGATTCAATGAACGTGTTGTCTTTAGGCTTATAAGTACGTTATCTCAATTCTCATGGCCGTTTCGCACAGGAAGGAAAACAGGAATCGCCCCCTGAGTCCCTGACCGTGTACTGGATGTCTGGATTCTGGTCTCTGGAATCACCATTGACCATTGTTTGGGACCTTTGGATTTCGCCACTCATCCCAACCCCAACGGGTAGTGCTGTTCATGGCTCGGGTCTACCCGATGGATTCGAACTAACCGAACCGATTATAACATGATTTTGTCCCAATTAATAATTGGGTTGGTTCCCGTCATTGCCTGTCCCAAATCGATTATTTTATTAAACATATATAATATTTTTTAATTTTTTTTATAATTTTATTATGCTTTATATTTGGAATAATAAATAAGATAATAACTTAATTTTTTTCTAAAATTGCATTATCAAATTTTAAATTGTAAATATTATTTAAATAAGCAAACATAGTTTTCAGTACAATCAAGCCTATCACTATTAACTGGGATGGTTCTTGAGTATGTGATTTTGTCTCAATTAATATTCAGTTCGGGACTGGTTCTACTACCAAGACCCAACTCTAACTAGGGCAGTTCATAAGAAGGCCCAACCTGATCAAATCGACCAACCCGAATCGATCCAATCCGAGTCGGTTGGGTTTTCATCAACACGGGTCGATTTTGGGTTGTGTAAATTCCTAAACCGATGATTCGGGTCGGTTTTGGTTTTCATACAAGAAAATCAAAACCGAACCGACTTAGTTCCTAGTTCAAACAYGAAGTTTCAAAGCCCATTAGGCCACCTAGTTTTTGAATGGTTGCAAGAAACTTTGGATTAGTGAATAGTAATTAATGAACAAATTTTGTGATTAACTTTTCATTTAAATTTTATCATAGGAGATGGCTGAAATGATGTTCAATTTATGACTGTTTTTAAAATTAGCAAGATTTTATCACAGGGATGAACTTAGAACCGAAACCGACCCAAACCGACCCAACCCGACTCAACCGACTAGGTCGGTTTTGCTTAACACTGGGTCGGTTTCGGTTTCTATGTCAAGTAACCCAATCAAGTCGAGTCGATTGGAAAAACCACAGTAAACCGACCCACCCCGACCCATGAACAGCCCTAACTCTGACCCTTACCCCATTTTAGGTCATTCCTACATATGGACAAATATCATCCTTGTTCATCAAAGTTTTGGGTTTTCCCAAAGCCTACCCTAGATGCGACTTGTGAGCATCGGAATTTGAGGCCAAGATGGGTTTGGAATTTGGATCAACCCTTGGACTGGTGGTAGGGCTGTTAACAAATAATGCCATGTCGATCAAACTGCTCCGACTCAATCTGATTTGGTGAGTTTTGGGTTGTGAAGAGGGATAAATAGATAGTTCAATTCGGTTTCAGTTTTTATATGTAAAAATCGAACTGAACTGAATCGAGTTAATTAGTTTCTAATTTCTAATCTTTCTCAGATTAGATAATCCTTATTCTAGCTTCTTCTTTCTAATTAGTTAGTTTTTAATATTAAGAATAATTAAACAGTAGTTAAATGGGAATTACTTTTTATCTTTAAGATTGTTTTCCTTTTTTAAATAGAAAATTTTAATGCCAAACCGACAATCAATTTGATTTCAGTTTAACCTTTAAATTTCCCGACCAAATCAGATCAATTGAAAAAAATAATATATATATATATATATTAAATGAACCCAACCCGAGCCATGAACAGCGCTAGCAGGTGGGGTGGGAGTCGTCTGCCATTGGATCAGATGTGGGTCCCCAGGGATGTCGGTTGTTGGATTCTTAAGAGATAAGGAACATACCCTATTAAAAACCGTATGGGTCACTTGTTCAAGCTGAAGGAAATTCAGAGCCCACTTGGAAAAGGTGTTTGCAGAATGGCAGTGTGTGCCAGCAAGGGTTATTGGTGGTGGGTTGTTTTCTTGTGAATTTTTGAAAAGCTAAACGTCGTATATCGCTGTGTTTGTTCTATTTTCTTTTTAAAAAATATATATATAAATACATGGCAAATGAAGTCAACATATATATATATATATATATATATATCTGGTCCTACAACATCTTCAGGTGTAAAATGCTGCAGTAAGGTTGGTAATTGAACCATTGAAGCTGAACATCTAGGAATACATAAACCCTTTTATATTTTTGTCTTAATGTTATTATTTATATTATCAATCATCATCATCTAAGTCTTATCCCAATTATATYATAATTTAACTATATGAATTCAATTCTGTATTGGTCATGTCCTTCAATTATGGGTGCCATATATTGATGGTCTCTTATGTTTTAATATTGTATATATCTAAGAATGTTATATCACATTCATGCATATAATGAACGATCCATATATTACTTACAAATTGTGTAATTAATTAGATGTAAGGGTGTGGTGGGGATAGATGGGTCATTTAGCCATATTTCCAACTTGAGTTAACATCACCTCTCAACCACTCTTACAAAGTGTGCAGTGGGGATAGGTGGGGTCATTTTTTAAGGTACCACCAGTGTTCAAATCCTTGGTGTCTTTGGTTAACATAACCTCCCAACAAACTATTGATAAGGATTTGGTGGGAATAGGTGGGGTCATTTGGCCATCTTTCCTACTTGGCCTTTTTAGGAACCCTTTCCTCCATATTATTTACAAAGAAACTTAAATTACAGGGTGGGTTTCAATGAAATGTTGTCATTTATTATATAATTAAGAAAATGACATATTAATCGCATCTTATTTGTATTTTTGTGAAGTTTATTCCTAGATTTGTCTAGTTTGGACTAGGTTTTGGTTGGGTCTCACATTTGCCAAAGTCCAGCCTGAGCTGCAATCTTAGTTGAAGGAACATTCTAGTGACCCATTATATATTTATTAAAGGCTTTCTTTTAAGAAAAATGAAAGAGACCAATATTGTTATGACACATTTTAGACAGACAATGATTCCAAACATTCATTGATAAACCTAAGTCTAAGTCTCAAATGATTAATGTATATTCATATATGCAACATGTATTTTATTATTTTATGTGAAGTGTAAACTACCAAAGTATGTTAGGAAATGTTTTTTTTTTTTGGTAAAATGTTAAGGAAATGTTGGGAAATGGTAAAAGAAATAAAATATAACTTAGTTATTTAACTCAAGAATTATTATTAATCTCAATGTTCAATTAATTATTTTAATTTTTTTATTTCTGATTGATATGATATCTATATTTATATCTTTATCTTTATCTATACTACTATAAAAATCGCGAATGAGTCCTGAGATTTCTAGATTTTTTTTCTTGACTAAAATACTTCTCATTTTGAATTTGTACACTTTTTGGGGGCAAAATTGTAATTTGAATACCACTATTCAGTTAATTCAATTCTCTCTCATTAAATCTCCTATTTAAGGTATTAATTCCTATTGCTTTATAGAATTTTTTCAACTAAAATACCCCTCATTTTGAATTTGAATATTCTTCATTTTTGGGGCAAAAAGTATAATTTCAATACTAGAATTCAGTTCATTCAATTCTCTCTCATTAAATCTCATATTTAAGGCATTAACTCCTATTCTAACATTGAATCCTATATTTAAGGTATTTTTATTTTTTATCATTAAATTTCATTAATCAAGTCAATAAATAATGATTTTTATAGTATAAAAATCTATATTTTTTAAATCAACCCACAAATAAAAATCATTTAATTTTTTCATCTAGTTAGTGGGTAAGTAGTTCAACCATCTTGGCCAAATAGGTAAACCCATGATGCCATAATTAAATAATAAAAATTAAAAATACATAAATATACAAAAAACATAAAAAATAAAGAATTTATAGAAAATTTTGGGCACATCACTATTATTGTATATCATCATATTAAACACAAGTATAATATTTTTTTTTGTAAGTTAGAACTTTATTAAAAGAGAAAAAAAATGAATATACAATAGAAATGCCCAAATAGTGTAGGCAAAAACCTGGGCCATACAATGGCAAGCACAAAATAAATATGATAAATACAAAAGATTTTACTAATGATGAAAATAGAATATAAAATTTAAAATCAATCAAAAATGAAACCATTTTCTATCTAGGTGGAAGGTCAATGGTTCAACCATTTGGGTCAAACTAGTCGACCCATAGTGTCATAATTAAAAAATAATTCTTTTTTAAATAAATAAATACAAAAATTAAGAAAAAAAACAAAAAAAATAATATAACAAATATGGGAACATGTCTAATATTATATATTGGCATATTAAAAAACTAAGTGTGATAAATAAGAATTGTTTTATTAATGATAGAAGTGAAATATAAAAATTAGAAAAATTGGTGTCTAATTTGTAACCCCACTAACTAGGTCAAATGGTTTAATTTGGTCACCATGTTGCTAACCATGTAAGTGATTTGGTGGTAAATGGACTCATAATCATTGTCTGGTGATGGATTTACCTATTTTACTAGTCGATTTGACCAGGGGATAAAACAAATCTTCACAAAATCAATTGCAATTGCATTTCCCTCCCAACTAAACAAGTTAACTTGTGATGCCATAAAATAAATAATGAAAATATAAAATATAAAAAATTATAAAATTTATTAAAAAAATTGAACTTGTCTTTAATATTATATATATTCTTAATATCTATGATGGAAAAATGTATGATATCAAAAGAGTTTTAACAGATCATACCCCCTGCCCCATGAATTTTAATGAATACCACTTGATTGGTGGCATGAAGGAACCTAAGAGTAGTTCCAAAGGGGATAAATGAGAGAAAGTAAATTAAGATAGTTTGGTCATGTGCATGCAAAACCATATATAATATCTATTAAAAAAATGGTGAATTTAATGTTAAAGGAGCAGGAGAGAGAGACAAATTGAAAACCTACGTGGAATAATAAAAAATTATATAAGTATCCATAACTTAATGATGGATATAGCATTGAATAGAATTGAATGGTGAAAGAAGATTACATAATTGATTCCATATAGTTCGGGCAAGGCTCTTAAATGATGATGATGATGATGATGATGATAACCACCTAATTGATTATCACTTTTATGATGTTAGTTACACCATGGTTTGA